ACACAAGAATAATCGAATCCAATATGGTCTTAGAACTTATGAATATAAATAAAACACCTTTTATTTATCGCCATATTGATCACACATTATTCATTGCATACTGTTTCAAACTATCAACTTTATACTTGAATTAAAAACAATAGTTGTCCCATGCTCCAAGCATGTACACTATGTTTTCTAAACACTAGTCATGCCATATACCAAGTATGCACACTATATTTGTCTAAACATTAGTTATGCCATACACCAAGTATGCACACTAAGTTTGTCTATGATCCTTACTATGTGAAATAGATCGATTGAACATAATTCCAATGATTCTCACTACAAGAAAAAGACCCTTTTACGACGCGCAAACCACAACACTCACTGATTTATGTTACGCAAGAGAGAGTGACATTAAAAAAAGTGTCATCTCTTCAAAAAATTTAAGAATTTAGGTCACGCATTATAGCGTGCCCTTAAATTAGTGTCGGAAGAAAAAAAATTAAAAACACGGAGGGCCTTTAATAGATACGTGGGGAAATGAAATCCCCAAAAAATTAAAACCCCGCCTCTTGGATCTCCTCCTTCTCCTTCTCCTTCATGTGTTCTCCTCCTTCTCCTTCGTGTGCTTTCCCTTTTGTTTAACTTGAATTTCACCATATACTTTATCCTCTCCACCAGCCGACAACCTTCACTCTCTCCTTCTCCTTTTCTCTGCAAACCCTAATCCGCCTCCACCACTACTGAATACCTTTTGTTTATCCTTAAGGAGTAACGCAACCAAGCTCGTATCTCAGATCAAGTACTCCGGCGTGGAGTTAACCCCGAAACGCCAGATGCAGCTCGATACTCTCTCCAGAGCTCTCCGCGACGGCCTCGAACTCGCTGGAAAATTCCTCGTCTCCATCCGTTGGAACGTCTACAAGAACCTTGAAATCTTTTTGGCAATGGGATTTTTGCTGTGGATGGAGTTAAGTGGCGCCACCAACGGAAGCTTGCAAGCTTTCAGTTCTCAACAAAAGTTTTACAAGAGTTTATTACTGTAAGCTTCAAGTCAAACGGTGCTAAACTAGCCAAAGAGATTTCCTTACTAGCAGCTGCTTAGGAAACCATGGATTTGCAGGTAAAGTATTAACTTAAAACTGATGAATTAGTTGTAGCTTTGTTTTAATTATTTGCTTTCTGTTCTTTTATGCAGGATCTGTTGATGAGATCGACATTAGATTCGATGTTTAAGGTGGGGTTTGGGTTTGATCTTGATACTCTATCGGGTTCAAATGAGGCAAGCAATCGGTCTATGGAAGCGTTTGATGAATCAAATGGTTTAGTATATTGGCGATTTGTGGATCTATGGAAGGTGAAAAGGTATCTTAATATTGGTTCGGAAGCTGCTCTCAAAGAAAAAATCAAAATTATCGATAACTTCGTATATGAATTGATACAAAACAAGAGGAAACAACTGAAAAATGAAGAGGTATCTTTATGTGCGTAAAAGTAATTAAAAATCTTTTCTTTCCGTTGGGTTAATTAACCCTTCAATTTTTTCTCATTTTAATGCTTTCTTTGTGCGTGGTCATGAGGTATAGAGATTTACTAGGAATGTCCTTCTCAACGATGACATATTGTCAATCGTGATTCCTTAACCTAATTTTCTATTAGGCGAGTTCTTTAATTTTTATACATTCTTTAATTCAATTGTGATTCCCAAACCTAATGAGCCATTTGTTTCAGAACTTCTTACAACTCTTCCAACAACCATTGTTGACCTTGAGCCTCACCAGATACATGCGTCTTATGAATATGTAAGTCTTAAGTGTCTCGAGTATGAGATTTTTTTATATATTTTTACAAATACTTATTTGATGTTCTTATGAAGGTAGGTTGGATATATGATTCAAGCAGAATCTGAGGAAACAGAGCGTGATGAGTATCTGCTGAGGCTGATGGATCTTCCCAATCAGGTAGGGTTCTCCTGGAAGGATAATTCTTAATTTGGATTTCTTAATATATTGTCTTATGATACGTTTGATTTATGCAGCAATGGGTGGAAATTATAGGATATGCTCACGGAAATATGGATTTATTGAAAGATCAAGATGTCATTAGGATTGTGCTTAACATATTGAAGGTTCGTTCTTATACTAATGAATATAATATTTAATCGACTCTTTTTTATTTTTATTAATGCAATCTTTGTTTCCTGTAGACTAATACAAGTGTTGCCACTGGACTTGGAACAGATTGGAAAGTAATTTTTGCCCCTGATGATGGATCATGTGCAAGAAACTAACCTGATGCTAGAGAATCTAAAGGGTTGACTTTTGTATGTCCCACAACTTGTTTCAGGTAAGGAGGGAAGAATTACTTTAGTTTGCTCAAACTGCAATCATTGGGCTAATAGAAGGAAACCATATATGAAAAAATACACCTTTTCTGATGCAGGAAATAGAAGAACCTGTTACACATATTCAGTTGTGCTGCAGATTGAAGTCACTTTTACTGAAGAAACGACTGTTGAGATACGGGGATACAATAGAGACTCATGCTCAAAAGAGATTTTTCGGATCTTTCTTGGGTTGGAAATATTACAGGGCCTAGAAATGGTGATATTGAAGTTACTTGGGTTGATAGAATGGTTTCAATGGTATGTTGAATCAAATTTCTTGTAAAAAGACATGAATGCCCTTCTTGTTTGAAGTAGTTTTTTGTTTATTGATATGATGTTTGGTGATATCAGGTGGGCCCACAAGCAATATATGTAGTAGGGCGTGATGATGATGATGATGACTCAGCTAGCAAGTTGGGAAATAATGGAGGGTGAAGATAATGAAATGGAAAATCTTCAAAAGGCACTAGAGGTTCATTTCTATTTATAAAAATTATAATAAACAAATAAACGGGTTTAAATTTTAACTGTTTTATTTGTTAAGGATCTTCGAATGAAAAATGGACCAGAGATGAGTGTTGATACAGATGAGCAAACAACTGAAAGCATTCAGACAAATGGTGCACTTTCTATACCCTTAGCTGCCCTTGGATTCATGACAAGGTTAGCAAGTGGAATTTTTTCTAAGGGTCAAAGAAACATTACAGGTAATTCAGGGGGTGATAATGTAACATTACATAGGGAAGATAAAAATGATAATACCCTTGAAAGATTGGCTTATGGATAATTTATTGAAAAGAATCTTTTTTTCTTTTGCATTTTTTCGTCCCTATTTTCCTGTTTCTTAACATTTTTCATCTAGAAAAATATATATGGTTCTAAGAGTTTTCAAATTCTTGCAACTCCCTAGATTGTTTTTATTTATGAAAAATGTATGTTTAATTTGATTTATATGTTTATCATTCTGTTAGTAAGGTAACAAACAAGTCTTTATTTATCTATATCTTCTATAAATGTAGTTTTAGGTGTGGGACCCTTGTGAGTGGCGACAACAGTGGCAGTGTTCAGTTTTGGGATAGTTCACATGGTACTCTGTTGCAAGCACTTACTTGCCATGAATGCTTTGGCAGCTAGTCCTACCCATACCAAGGTGTTCTCAGTCAGTCAGGTACTGAATACTATTTTAAGTTTTAGTTTGTTTGACTTGGATTGGATGTTGTAGTATCATATGATGATTTTTGTTTCAGGTTATATTATATAAAGGTATTTGGTGACAGATCTTGTTCTGCTAGTCCTACCGAAATGAAATGAATAATTAGATTCCTTGTCGCCCTGGGCTTGGTGGAGCAATTGTGCCAAGATCATGTAGCACATGTAATTAGTTACATTCATCACCTCATTGCCATTTCCTCCATAAATGTGAACTCCTTTTATATTAAAATGTGTTTGCTCTTAATTTTTACAGATGGGTGAAACACCATGCCCTGTTGACCCATGGATTGTAGTCTTGAAACTTCTAGAAAACCCTGAGATAAAAAGGCTTGACATTTAATGATTTCTTACAATGATTCACTACTGAAGTTTCTAACTTTTTTGGCCTGTTTTTAAATCTTAGGATATCCCAACTGGTGAGGCTACCAAGGAACATGCTTTTATCTGTAGACAGACAACTTGTACAAACAATTGTACCTGGTACAAGATTGACTATAATGGGAATTTACAGCATATTTCAAGCTTCAAAGACATCCACATCGTAATACTTTCACTCTATCTATTCACCAATAATATTTAACTTTCATACATTTTGAATATAGCTAAATCTGGCAATCTTTTTTCTGTTTTGATCTAGTCACAAAGGAGCAGTTGCTATTAGACAACCATATATAAGAGTTGTTGGAATAGAAGAAACAAATGAAGCTACTTGTGGTCCTGCCAATTTCACACAAGAAGAGGTAAAGTTAATATCATTTGATGCAAATTATGTTTGTCTTTTAGTGGAAATAGAGATGTATTGCTTTGGTGTTGTTTATTACTTACTGGGTTACCTTCATATTGCTTTCAGGTTGAAGAATTCAAGAGATTTGCAGCAGAAGGCAATGTATATGAAAACATATGTTCCAAGATTGCCCCTTCCATATTTGGCCATGAGGATGTTAAAAAAGTTGTGGCTTGTCTCCTGTTTGGAGGATCAAGGAAGGTATAATTCCAACTTTGCCCTTGAATATTGTTGTCTTTACTTAATAATTTAGGAGCTCATTTCCTCTATTTCTACAGAATTTACCTGATGGTGTAAGATTGATGGGTGATATTAGTGTTTTGCTCTTGGGAGACCCATCCACTGCAAAATCACAGGTAACCTTAAATTCTTTTCATTTCTTTTTATTACAGAGTTGTAATTTTAATAAAAGCACTGTAACTTTCTTATCTTTTTACTTTTTTTTAATACAAATATTCTACAACACCCTTCCATATTTCTCCAATTCCAATTTCTAATTTAACATTATAAAAATCATTTAGCGCGAGTTTTATCTGGAAGCAGGGGCTATGGTCTTGGCTGATGGTGGTGTTGTCTGCATTGATGTTCATAATAAGCTTATTATGAACATAAAGGTTAGATGTCTACTTCAATTTTATTAAAGGCTGTATTTATCTTTATTATGTGTATTTTAAGATACCCTTTTCCTATAACAGATTATATCTCCTGTATTGGATATGATACCTATGTCTTTGGGTATTAACCTGGCTGCCCTGGCTTTTAGAAAAGAACTCATAGATCTGGCAAAGAGGTTGAGTGCAAATTTAAGTACTTATAGGGATACTTTATTTGAGGAATGCCTCAGATTCCTGAAGGAGGTGGAGTTTGGTGTTCGGGAATCTTCCAATCAGTTGCATAGCCCTGGTAACATTTGGACTATTTATGCAGAGACAACTTCTGTGTTCTTTAAGGTGTGTGTAAATTTTCAATTTCAATCCCGCACAACACTGTTGATATAAGTTACCCTTGTTTTTTTAGGTTCTTCAATCGCATACAGGCTTGCTTACTTCTAACCAACTTACTAAAGAAATGGAAAGATTATATCTGAAGTCTCCAAACAACAGTCTCATTATAGAGTACATATCATTAAACTTTTTAATGTTGTTTGTCAGGGAGACTATTCATAGCTGATGCGAACAACAATCTCATTAGATATTTGGATCTGCACAAAGAAGATGCAAAAGTTGTTACACTTGAGCTAAAAGGAGTTCAGCCTCATGTATGTGTAATAATTGTTGTGCACAATTTACAAGCTGCTTGGTGGTAAGTGGAGTACCGGATAATCTGAATGTTGAGATAAAGAAAGCAAGGTATTACTTTGTTTCACATCACATAGCTTTGTCATTAAAATTACAATTATACCCTTCATGTGTAGTTTTTTGTCATCACATAGCTTTGTCACTAAATTATACCCTTCATGGTGACTCTAAATAATGGGGCAAGAGTCAACATGGCAAGAAGGAAGGAAATCTTCTTGCTGTTGCTACTGTTGAATACAAGGTAGGGGCATTTATGTCTTTTCACCAATCTTGTTGCATATTCTTAACTTATTCAATTTTGGCAGGTTGATCCTGCTACATGGCCAATAATGATCTTTAGGGTCTGCTAGAAGGATTGGAGATTGCAGTTAAGCTTCTATCGAAGACTTCACGCCAAGGACTTGATGAATTTAAGCTAGCAATGTTTTACATGATTTGGACATGAATCCTAACATATCATACTTTGGCATGGTTAGAAGCTTTGGAGGAAACGAGACTCAAGAAAAAGCAAACACACAGAGAGTTGTTGGCACATAGTAAGCTAGATAATGCAATTGTATATAAATTCTGCTTCTCTTGAGTTCATTTTTTTATAACATTTACTCACTATTGGAATAATTATTTGTATTTGACATATTAGTGAAATGAATTATCTTTGTTATTTATGGTATTTTATTTTGTATTATGAGATTTTTAATGTGTTATTTAATTTGAAAATTAGTAAATCTCTCAAAATATATAATTTTTAAAACATTTAACTTTATGACACGCAAAAATGTGTGTCGTCTTTTTTTTATGACAGTGACTTTAATGATGCGCAATGCGCGTCGTCAGGTTACGACACGCAAATGTGTGTCGTCTTCTTTATAACAGGGCCTTCCTTGACACACATTGCGTGTCGTAAATGCGCGTCGTAAATAGACGACGCGCAAAAGCGCGTCGTTTCTCGTTATGACAGGGCCTTTCTTGACACGCATTTGCGCGTCGTCTGAGCGTTTTACGACGCACATTGCGAGTCGTAAAAGACTGTTTTTCTAGTAGTGTCTCATTTCACAATCCCAAATCCTTACCGCAAATGCAAAAATTCCAAATTCCTTCCATTTACCTAAATTTGTTAGATTCTAAACTTGTATGCATTGATCATCTTGTAATGATTATGCACAAAGTCACAAAGACTTGTCAACTGACATTACAGAGTAATTCAATGGTGATAAACTCCATGGAAATATCCTTCTTGCATTAAGTTTTTTTCCTAATCTTACACAAATTAAATCCACCTATGGAGACAACTCCATATTCCCATTTTTGACTATCATTTCTGAACAAGAGTTGCCTCTTTTTAGAACATGTCAATATGGTCCTTCCAGAAACACTATACTTCCAACTGTCCCTGAGCAACCAATCTTTGGTAAACCTTAGATTGTCCTCGACAATTGCTTAATCATTTTAGTCGTATCCAATTCTAGACCTTTTCCCCTTCTTAATGCCTCAGGCATTTGGAAAATTAGAAAGGATAAATATTATAGCACATGTAATCGATCATGTACCCAAAGCGAATGGGACACGATTCATGATGTCTCACATAAAGACATGATTCTAGGTCAGTCTTTTTGCTATAATATCTCTATTTGTATTTGCCAAGTTCTCATAATTCAGGTTATGAAAAGGGATGTCGTAATCATAATCGAATTTTAGAATGCAAATAATGGGCCTATATATAGAATTTCCT